CCTATTTTTATTTACCATAACTTCTTGCACGATTTACCACAACAATATTATTTATGGTTTTTATTAAATTATATGAAAATTTTTTAATAATATTGCTTAAAAAATAATAGTGATGAAAAACTTTCAATAAAAAAAAAAACAAGAATTAATTACACAAACGTTATATTTCTTATTACAGACAAATTTTTTTCTGGTTGAAAAAATTGAATCGCAGTAATAGTTCAATTTTTTTTTCATTAAAAGTAAACTAGTAATCTATTTTAAGTTTTTTCGTCTTGATATTTTGAATAAAATGGATATGAAACATTTATTAACACATATTGATGATGTTATTAAAATATCTTAAAAAAATGTTTGAAGTTGATTTAAGCAATATAAAATTTGATTGAAGTGAGTATGTATATTCATTAATAATAAAAACATCAAAAATATTTATGCAATAAATTAAAAATATCTACAAGTTTGATTTATATAATTTTACGGATCAAGCGTGTATGTAATGCACACATCTGTAACCAATGTAGTTACATTGTTTTTTTATTTGTAAGTCAAGGATTTTTTGTTTATTTTTAAATTTGAACTCCCACTGTGAGTGTGGTCAGACTGAGAAATTACCATGCGCAGGATAAAAACTAGAGGAGGACTTGTTTTCCATCTTAATATGGGTAAATATAGAAGGATTTTTTGTTAGACAGCAAAAGTACTTTTTTTGTCAGTTGTTGCCATTTCTATAAAAGCAAATATAACCTTTTGAGTGGTTATGTTTGCTTTTATAGAAATTTAATTTAAAATAAGGGTAAAATTTTTTATGTGTTATTTACATGATAGATCCGGTGGCATCATTTGCAAAGGGGAAAGAGTAGGAACTTATCCCATGCCTTGAAAAAGGTATGCTGTTAATTTCAGTAGTAGTATACAACAAAATCAAATAGATGTGAAATAGAATCAATCATATGTAAATTTAGAATTTTTGTATCACTTTAAATGTATTTTTTATATAATCAAATGTAGTCACCATGTGTTATCATTTGACAATAAAACGTTAAATAGTTTATATTATAGATTTTTTTATTTTTAACAAATGTTTAGGAAGTGCGCAGAATTCTTTTTTTTTTTTTTCAATGAGCATTTTAAAATAAATATTTTTGATTATCGACAAAAAAATTATAAGAACAAAATTGTGTTGTAATTTTTTTTCTATCATATTATCAAGATAAAAATAGGGGTTCTGATTTAAGAAAATTATGGTTAAGAATTTTTATCTCATAAGAGATGAAAAATAAAAAATGTAACTATATATTATTATAGTTTTTTGAACCTAATATTATTACTATTTACAACAATTTTTAATTCTCAGTAGTTTCTGTGGAAATTAGTGTTTAACCAAATTTGGGTCGCACTATAATAAATAAAGTTGTAATAATAAAATTGAAAGTGTAGCGAACAAAAATTGTTTTAATTCAAAAGTTTTGTTTGTTTTATTTTAAAAACTAAAATAATGCTTCTGAATAACTCCAAAGATAACGATAGCAAAAAAAAAAGATCAAAGAGTTTCATACTTTTATTCATCTATAAATCACAATTATTTCATTTGTATGACAATGCTACACGAATTCCTATTTGTATATCATGATGTTTTGATATTTTACAATCTATAACCAATTTATTTGTAAACTTTAAAATAAATTAATAGTATTATTAAAAAAATAATATACATATTTTGATTAATTTATCAAGTTTTTAAATAGCCGACAATTGATGAAAATATTTTCGCATAATTATTTATTCCAATTAAGTTCTAATATTGGCATGTGGTTTGAATAATAAAGTAGTTTTTAATCAAGTAGTTCTGACAAATGAGATCATAAATGTCAGTAAACGAGTCGCTATTGCGTGTAAAATTCATTTAAGGTCTATGGTATTTCATGTTAACTTGCTAAGGTAAGTTTCATGGATCGATCATAATTTAATTTAATGATTAGTATATAATATTCATATATGTTTTAGTTTTAAATTTTTTGATTACTACTCAGTAAAAATCACTGGAAATTACAAAATTAGAACCAATTATTTTAATGTGGGTCCCCAATATTGAAACTGACAGATTAATTTACTGTGGTTGACATTGTTGTGTGATTAATAATTTTCCATTCTATATATAAGATTTTGATTGGTTAAAATAACTTCACTTATATTCATGAAAATAATTCTTTTTAAAAAAATCAGTAGAGTGTATAAGACTTTTACAATTTTACATTAAAATGGATATACATTTTGGATACATTTTTTACTTGTTAAGACCTAAATATGTGTTAATGATAATTAATTTCTTTTAATTTCAGTAATAAATAATATTTATTGAGATTAATTATTTCTACTAAAAATGCCTTTGCATTGGTTTCAAATATACTATAGGAATTTAGAGTCGCAAATAATGTATTCGAGAACTTTTACCTAATTCAATTATTCAAAAAGGATCTTACAACGGTCACGATGTGCAAAAGTTAAAAATGAGAATAATATATTATTAATTATATGAAAGACAGCTGTATCCATTATTTAGTGTTTTTGTCCTAATCTTTTAAGTATAAATGTATTTCCGAACTATAATTTTCTAATTCAAGAGAATATTTTAGGGGAACAAATCCAATATAAAACAATTACAAAATATTTCACTTAAAATAAAGAAAATATTTCTGATGTTACTAACTAAAAATAAAGTAAAATAGTTGATTTGACTGAAAAATGTAATTCTTTACCACTTAATCTTTAGTTGTAAAACTATTTTAATCATATTTTCAAATGTTTACAGTAAAAAATTCAATATGTTTATATTAATTTTAAGATGAGCGAAAATTGTTGAAATTCTATATTTTCTATATTTTTATTAGTAGGTATTGTAAAATAAAACATGTAAAAATATACAATACTACTACATACAATTTTATTTCAAGCGTATGCAGTGTAATCTATAAATTGTTATCACTTGTAATGTTTTTTTTTTAATTATAAATTCTTAGCCCCTTTCTAAACTTTGGGTTTTAATATGTATTCATTTGTCTATGCCAATAACAGTATTTTAAAATCGAAACAATGAGTTACTAATTTTATCTAGCATTTCTATTTCATAATTTATAAATTTTTATTTGATTTTAAATAATTTATGATAAAACGTTAACGAAAAAGTAATAATCCAGTAGTAAAATAATAATAGAATTGTTATATATTACGAGCAATAAAATTTATTTGATATCGATAAAAATATTCACATTAAAACAATTTTCTTTATGGTACACAATACTCTTAAAAATGATTCATATAACGGAGTCATAACTCAAACAAAGTTATGTTACCAACATTAAAATTTAATACAATTATTGCTGTGATAAGACGTATATTATAAGTATTTAAACTTGGAATAGTTTTATAAAGTTCTTCTTAATTAAATAAAATATTTTTCAATAAATTTTTAAAATATTGAAGTATTTCACAAGATCCGAAATGAATTTTTTTTAAAATTCCTGACTTATAAATGGACAGTATGTTTTACGATGGACTATTACTTATATCAAACCTATAATCGCTTTCAAGCATTGTTTTCATAATTTTATAACGTTAAAAATTTTTTTTATAGTAACAATGAAATTTGAAGATAATTCTATGATAGTAACTTAATTATCCTATTAATTGATAATAGTGATAACAATAACTACTTTTGTTGTAGTCCTGTTAATATTTAATTACTTATAAGAAGAGTTCATTAAAATTAAAAACTATTGAATTCCTTGTAATGTCGTGTTTCTTGTAAATATGTCATCAATTATTTTTACAAAAGTTTTAATACATTTGTCATACATTATTCAGTGCTATAATAAAAACACTATTTTGCTTTTAAGGCTTCGCTTAACCTTTAACATATAAAAAAAACATTATCGTAAAACCAATACCTTCTTAACTCTCCATTGAAGCTAAAAGTGTTTCGAAAAGAAAATTTTGCACAATGATGAGACGTGATGCATTTTAAGGCTTTTCTCAAACATCACTTGCATTACTTACCTATACACTCACAAATTTTAATATATACGTGTGTGTGTAATACATATTTAATACTCTGTGCTCGCTTATATATTCAACATCTATAACAATCATGTAACCTAAACGGTTTTTATAAAAATGCTGATAAAATGTTTTTAGAAATTCGTTTCACTTTTAGCTTGAAGTTTAACATAATACTCCATTCCCACGTGTAGCAGTTATGATAGGGTTACTATTGTGCCTATAAAAGAATAGAAACAAGGGCTTTTTATACATTTTTACTCTTTAATTTTGTTACCTATTCAGGATTATTTGGTATCTTTTATACAGCGATTGGATTTCAAATATTGTAACCTCATATGTATAATTTCCATCACGTACTCGTCCGTTTTTACTCTTTACTCTAAGCTGTGCAAATATTTTAAGCAAATATAAACTCAATACAATACGCTTTATTCATATAAGCTTATAAAACAAAAAAAAAAGTGTTAAAACTGTGAAGTAAATATTTGACCAATATATAATAGCTTGTGCTATTTCTGGTTAATGCAGCACGTACTAGCATTCAATTGGTTTAAACGATGTAGTACTTATAAAGAAATGATTATAGACTTTGATGCGACATCGTTAAATTCCCTAGTAATTTTTATTCATTTAACACCATGGTATAATATTTAGTACATATAATAGTTATCGCTGTATTTATTACAAATTACAATGACACTTGATTTTTTTATTAAAATGAATTGATTACTTAATACATTCAATTTTACACATTAATTGTACAGTCAAGATTTTTGCCAATCAAAAACACTGTGTAATTAGAAAATTAATAAACTTCTTGAGTGTTGATAACATTATTATGATAATTGTTTAAAACTTCAAATTACACAAAGGAAAATGATAAGATTAATTATTGTAAATTTTTAAATTAGAATAATCTTAGAACATAAACACAAACTCACTTATAATCTGTACTTTTTGAATTTTTCTTCAGCTTATAGAATCTTCTTGTTACTGTCGCTTGTTTCATGTTCAAGTATTTGTTTTTTTGTTCATAGTTTAAAACTTTTTTACCAAAAGTACTGAAAATCAAAACACGAACTAAGTATTAAATTTTATAAAATGTATAAGAAATAAGATACATATTAAAGTTAAATTTAAATATTATACTATCCATCATCCGAAACGTCATACTCGATAAAATATAATTTTAAATATAAAAGCGTACAATTCAGTGTAATAAATGAAGTTAATGTGAATGTTAGTAGTATAATAAAATATATAATTAAAAATTTTACAAAAATGAAATAATATTCATAATTCTTAACTGAAAATGTTAACTAAATGTTGTATGGCCGACCCCAAGTATTTGGAATTAAGACGATGAAGAATAGAAGAAGAAGAAGAAGTTTAACTAAATGTTGTTAAATTTTTAGCAATTTAAGACACGAAAACCAAAAAGTTCTATAACTTGTACATAAGATAATTCCTTAATTAGGCCTCACAAAATAACTTCAAAAATATTAAGGTAATCATTATTTTACTTTTAGCTTCGTTGTGAAGCTGAGAAGGTATTAATTTTAACATGGTGTGTTAATTTTTATTTTTTTGTGTCTGTCAATACTTTTTCTCAGTTCCAATGGACCGATTTTTCTCAAAGATACGTCAAAATATCACTAATCGTATCTAGTTGAAGACATTACTCTAAAAAATTGAGAATTTTTCCCTAGTTCCCCATAAATATGGGAAATCTTCAAAAAATTACAATTTTAAATTTTCGAATTTTTTGTCACTTTTATTTTTTAAAACTACCATTTAATAACTAACACTAACTTTTTCAAAAATTAACAAATCAAAATAATTTTAAATACAATCCTTAAGTAATTTACTTTTTTAACAAAAATGGTTCTTTGTTGAGCCTTATAGGGAATATTAAATTCTACTAATATTATTTATACACTAAACTAGTATCAACTTTTGATTTTCAAAAAACAAACCAACTTTTTATCTCACCGATTTGTTCAATTTAATAAAATGTTTGTTTAAACAATTTTTTTATATTATTCGATTTTTGAAAAATTACAGCTGTTTAGGGGTGGGAAAAAACTGTACTTATTTTATAAGATATTATCTCGTCGTATATCGATAAAAGCTACAGGTTTTTAGAAATACGATAAACTGCACATTCTTTCATGAATTTATGAACCGGTAGTACTTATCAATTGATGACCCAATAAAGATACTGTCTTTTAAAAGCAAGTACGCTTTTTCTGAATCACCCCTGAATCTGTAACTCGTTGAAAATCAAATAATATAAAACATTTTTCTTCAAATCGAATAAATCTGATATAAAAAATATTGGGATTACCTTTTGAAAACCGAAAGTTTATATAAATTAAGGATGGTAGTAGAAAATTAATTTTTCATAAAAAAATCTCAAAAATTAACCATTCTGCAGCATTGTGAATGTTATGTAATTTACATACTTTATAAGAGTTAAATTTATACTTTAGTAGAAATTTACAAAAAGTAACATAAATTATAATAATTAAAAATTTAATAATCTTTAAATCACCGTGAAAATATTTTTTGGTATAATTTAAAAATTGATCCTAGATATTGAAAATAAATGTTTTTGTTAAATATATTTAAATGGTGAAACAATATTATTTAAATAATTTTGTTTTAAATTAATTAAAGAAAACATTTTTTTCCACAAACAATTATATTTCAAAATATATAATAAGGTTATTTTGTCGGTGACATTCGGTGAGCGCAGTTATACTATTCATAATACTTAATTTAGTCTTATAAATATTTGATGTATTGATTTATAATTTTTAAGTTATATACATTGTCATGTACATGTTCCTGTTTCAAATATACATTTATTATGTGAAACAGACATTGTTATTAACATAATCTTAAGGACGGAAATGAGTTGTTCAGAATTTTCATACATCTTCATGGAAAAACAAGTTTGTTTCACAAGTTAAATGCGTTTACAGTTAACACAAACGGACTTTAGAACTTGGTTAATAGTAAACCCATGTTTAATAGTTGATTTACGATATTTCCATCGAAATTCACCCCATATTTTGACTTGACACATTTATTAATTTGATTAATCGTTTACTAAATGTGACATAGTGTCTTGTCTAACACACTTGACATGAGTTTTTATACACTTTCAACAATAAATAAGTATTTTAAACATATTTTATATTCCCAAGAAAATATTGACCTTTATGAATATGCGTATTATAGCCATTTTTAAATGTAATATACAGAGTAAATATACTTATACTTATTTTGTTATGGAATAAAAATAGAAAGTTGAGTATCTAAATAACTACAATAGTTTTGAATGATATACGATATTCATTTTAGACAAGTAGAACATTTTTGTATTTCAAAATGAATAGTTTTTAAAAAGAGGACTTTAAGTGACTTTCAAACATACAACTGTTATGGTGTAAAAAGAATTGGATGGTCTGATTATTTTACAGCTATTCACAAAAAAACTACTATAAGTGGTTCACCATCAATATTTCCAGAATGTTTTTTGATTTTCATTGTTTACCCTTTTTATACAAAGTTTACTTTTCTTCTTTTACCCATTGTTTCGAAAAACTTTTGATTTTCTGTCAAGTGCTACTACTATATACATCATTTTAAGCGTGGTTGTTGTTTATCGATTTTATTTCTGTAAACAATAAGCAATAAATATCACATATTATTATGGTTTTTTAAATATTATCTATCAATTATGAGTACTAAAATGATTATATAAAACATAAGCTATCTTAAAAGAATAACGAATAATATTTAATTTTTAAAAATTATTAACAAGAAAAATTAATGAGACAACTTTCATGGTTAATTCATTGAATATTTTAGATAATTTGTACGATTTTTTAATCTAAATTACTACTCATACGCCTATAAAAATCATATGAAATAGAGTGGATCCTCTTACTTAAAATAATTTTATAGTTTTATTAAACTTATCTTAACTACCTTGTTTCACTAGCTAGGCTTAGCAACATTGCTAATTTTATTTGTAACCAGCTCAAACCCCATAGAGTAATCGCTTAAACTTTTTGATCACGGTTTGAACCTACGTTATTTATTGTTAAAAAAAATGGCTTTGTATAATTGAAATAAATTGTATTGCACAACTCAAAAACGACCTACAAGTTCAATTAATCGAATGAATTTAATCGTTCATTTACAAATTGTTGAATTATTGCAATTATTTCCAATGTAACATAAATATAACATTACAATATACTTGAATTAATCTGTAATGTGTATTTTCAGGACAATTTGAAAGTAAAAAAGTTACTCAATTAAAGACATTTTGACTTTATTACTATTGCTATGAAAATTGGTTTATTTTTCTAAAAGAAATTAAATACTAAAATATTTTAGAAATATTTAGTTATGAAATCATGTGATTTTAATTCAAAATTACTGAATTGGATCTTATGAATTTTATAAAAAATTTTTACATAAAATTAAACTTTAAATGTTTCATTTAAATTTAACTTGATATAAATAAAGATTTTTTAAATAGTAATTTCTTATATCAAAATTGTTTCGGAGGTAAATTATAATTTTTTACTTTTAATTATTAATAAATGTTTTTTTCTTGTTTTTCATAACTCATAAATGATAAATATGACGTAATTATTTTTTTCATTAGTTTTTTTTAAAAGTTACTCTGTAGTTAAATTTGGCATTATAATTCTTAAATTAAAAAAATCCAATCATTAGTTTTGAGTTTTGTAATTAAATTTGGTATTTGATATTTCAACAAGAAAAAAGAAAAAATTACTTTTACGTTAGCTATAGAAATAAGTTATGTTGTTTTATTTTGCTTGAAAATGTTTATATAAGTGTTAATTAAAGTTTCCTTGAAAATTCGCAGGGAAAATTTAAGTTTGTAAACAGTTGATTTATGTCATTTTAAGAATTTTAACTTAAGTTTTATAAATACGTTTATTAATGTACTTACTCAAGTGCCATAAGAACTAGTTAATTCTGTTTAATTGAGTATTGCATTGTAAGAAACACACTATTAAATGATTAAAGTACAATTTTATCACAAAAAATATTTAAAAAAAAAAATTTGAAAATCCAGACTTGGTATAAAAAAATATATGTATGTATAAACGCATAAAAAGCTTGTTAAACAAATACATGTTTTTATGTAAGGTAAACTTATTTATGTGTACATACGAAACCATATAAACAACTGTATGAAATAGTAATAAAAAATTTAATTAAAAATATAATTTTCATTATAAAAAGCCATTAATTTTTATAATTTCGATAAACAAATTTCCAAAATAACACTTGTTTTAAACATTTTGAACTCCAAAATCTTTCATATTGTATTTGCTTAGTGAAATTCATTAAACACATGTAGTTAGTCGATAAAATATTTACGAAGCTTAACTGGATATTTAGTAAAAAAAATTAACGAGCTATTTATGGAAGTGCTTAAAAGATTACCATTAATTAAACTGTAAATTTTAGCAAAACTTTTGAAAATTATAGTATTTAAATACTTGTAGATTTTTATTTGTTTTTAAATGTTACCATACGATAGAGTTATTGGTTTGAATAAATGTTCAATGTTTAAATGACTAATCTAATGAAATACTAGTTTACTCTTATTTTTTATGGATACTTACGGATAAAATATGTTTAAAAAAGATGAGGGATAATAATGTTGACTTACTATAAATTAATGAGCGTGAAGCTGGTTTGACTAAATAAAACTGATAAATGACAGCAAATATAAAATTAATTTCAATTATTGAAAAATGAACATTGAATCGTTTTTATATTAACTTAAAAGTAAAATTTGAAATGCCTAAGCATACTTTATATACGAATTAATCGTTTTGAATTTAGTTAAATGATTAAACTCTGAGCTTACAGATTAATAGTCAACCTGTGTTTTTGATAACGTTGGCATGATACAATATTGGTTTTACTATCGTACATATGCGGTAATTAATATTACATATATAACATGTATGCATATGCATACACGCATCCCCTGGTGTTTTTGCTGTAGACCGGAAATAACATATTCATATTAAAATCCAGTTATTATTGTAGTATCATGAATCAAAAGCTGCCGCAATATTTCGGTAGTGTCGTGCCACATTAAGCTCTAACAGTCTTTTCATAAACAATAGCTTGAATCATAATTATTACCACCATTCATGTACGCTATTCATTTTATTTTTTTTACTTCGATTTACCCATGTAGTAACAGTAGACTGTCCCATCATTTTATGAAATTCATTGTTCACAAAATAACAAAATTTTACTATAAACACAAAATAATATGATCCAACGAGCGCACTATTTTCAAACTAAATTAAAATCTGTACCATAGCAAAAACATTTGTTATTTTTCAGTTCATTCAATTTAAACATGTCAAGTATTTTTAGGCTTAAGAATTTGTTAAAATAATTCCAGCCCTCAAAGCAGAAATATTATTGATTGCTAGTGGAAAAGAGAAATATATTTTATAAGTATACAGATTATAACCTAAATAACGTTTTATGCAATTAACGTTAAAAAAAGTATTTTAGACGATTAACATAATTTGCTCTATTTTATATTATATAATAGATATTTCTTTTGTAATTATTATTGTATCATTTTTTGGTAGTATTAGTAGAGTAACATTGGTTTTTTCTATAAGAATTTCATAGTTTATATGTAATTTAAAAGTTTAGAACATACGTTAAAATGAAAAATTTAAACAAAGATTATTGATCTAAGTTTGCGACTCCTTAAAACGAGAAGAAATTATTTTTATAATCATATGAAAGTGAAGGACATTTTACTGTAACAAGGTCACTTTATTTTATACGTCTACCAAGCGTCATTAACAAGTAAATATTTCGTGGTGAATTTAGTAAGAATTTCAATGTTATTTTAAGTTTAAGTATGTATCTATGATTCACTAGATATAATAGGCTGAAAAATAAAAATTGTGATTTTTCCACAAAACTGAATCGATACCTTAGCGAAATCGTGTACTATGACTAGTAAAATGTTTACACATTAAGCTTTCACTTATCTATTTTACTATATTGTCCACAAAAAGAAACAATTTTAGTGTGTATTGATTAAATTGAAAATACTATAACTGTTATCTTTACCATCTCCATAGACTTTATCCCAACCTTTTGAAGTAGGCTCTACCTATTGATTTACTAAAAAAAAGTAGAGTAAATAGTAGTGAGCATTGAAATACTACATTATATATAATATTATAAGAGCAGTACGACAAATATATAACTTATTTAATTATAGTGTGAAGTTATTATAAAGTCGTATAATCTTAAAATATTAACTTAGGTACACTTTAGTTTAACAATAATCTTTTATTGCAAGATATCTAATTTGTTTTATTAAAATGATACCTCAAGTAGTTTATCGCTGTGTTTTAGATAAAGAGAATAGCTCAATGGAGATTTAAGAGATATTTAATCTTATTTAAACTGGAGAAACTCTTAACGGTTAAATTACATGGGTTTATTTCACATGTTATAAATGTGTCATCAGAGATTTCATGAGGTGACCATTTATCTTCTGAGCTTTTTGTCTTGCTCATAAATGGATTTAAACTGGCTTTACCTTCTCACTACTTTACAGGTGATTTCTATTACAACACTATTGTTCCATACTTACATTACTTTCATTATACTCTGTTTATTATACTTATACGTCATCCTCAGCTGCTCTGTTATATAAATTAGTAGTAAGATGTAAAGATGTCTATGTTGTTTCACTTAACTATGAAAATACTACTATTATAAAAATAAAACTGAATTTCAATTATATTAATGCGACCTTTTTATCCAAGTATATTAATACCAAATTTCTCTAAAAAATCCTAATAATGTTCCTTGTACATAGAAAATATCATCCAATATATTATACTGAAAGGTTATTAGGATGAAGATTAAGTTTTGATTTTATTTAATTATAATAATTTATAGTATAACTTTTATTCAATCGCCTTTAAAATTCCATGTAATATCAATAAATTATTGATCAACATTGATTATAACAAAAAAAAAAATTAATACATATATTATTTAATAACATTTTGGTACCAGTATTATGATTAATATATGTTTGGTACTGTGAGAATTACAGCGTTATCAAACATCAGAATGCAAAGATGAGATGATAAGGTAAAACTAATAAAAACACTATGACGTCGCAATAGGTTCATACTATCTATAGAGTAATTTATTAAGCTTACTACTCCCCTTTATTTTCGTTAAAAACGATATTTCCATAAAAATGTATAGATTTAAATTTGATTAATTTTTATAAATCATTATCGAACTTTCGAAAGTTATATGGGAACCTATTATTATTATTATTATTTTACTATTACATGCAGAATGGTCTAAATAAAATTTTGGCTGGTCGATGACTAGTTTTGTATTATTACTTTCTAAGCACCATATTTAAGATATTAGCATTTGAAAATTAAGAAAAGGTGAGTGTTTAACGACGCTCTATTTTTAGTATGGCGCACAGATAAGAATTCTCCAACGTTGTGTATCCCTCTTGCCTATAACTAAAAATTAAATTAATTCTAAAAGTAATATTATAAAACTGGTTAACGACCAGTCAATATTTTCTTTAAATAATTCATTATTAAAATTAAACAAATAAAAATAGGTTTCTATTTAATTTTTAAATTTACTTCTAAAATTGACCATTAAAAACAATTTTTTTTACAACAGACTTTGTAATTATAATGATTTATAAAAATAAATCAAATTCAAATAGTTCTATACATTTTTATGAAAAAAAAGGGGGAAGGTATACATAATAAATAACCCTATATAACAAAATAGATTTCAAAGACCTCTCTGCTAGTTGTGTAAACGATTGAAGTGTATTTTGTGCAAAATAAAAATAAAAACAAAACCCGTTAGAAATAACTTTTATTTAACAAAAAAATAATAAAAATAATGAAACATTCTTTGAGAGACACTACTTTTTTTTAATATTTTGATTTATTTTCAATTTAACCTATGAAGTATTATCATTTAAACTAGTTATATTTTGTCGTAGTCGAATAAAGCTCTAATTTAAAGTTTAACTTTCAGACTGTAAAGTAAATAGCTGAAAAGTACTCCGCATGTATACAAGTAATACAATTGGACATAAAATCTAATAGAATAAGTTTTCAAAAAAAATTATTTTATATAAACAACCCTGACATTTCTCAGGTATATCATCATTTTTTATTATGAAATCTTTTGATAGTAAGCTTAGTGTGCCACCGTATTTATGTGAGCTGAGCACGTTCCATATTATAGAGTACTGACAATTCTCTTTTGACCATATCAAATATGTTACTTATAAATAATATTATCTTACCGACATTGTTCGTTGCAAATAGTGCGAGTTGTCGTATATCGGTGTTTTATGTGTTAGATTTATGTAAAAACATAAAAATAAAATTTGATTGATTAAGTATGTAAACTAAAATGAAAATGGTTGAATTTAATACAGGAATACTATTTTAATCAAGTTTTGTATATAAAACAACTTCAACAACTAAAATCATTAGAAGAAATCTTTCAAAAAATGTAAATACTCCGTTATGTTCTATAATTTAAATGGTATGAATTGGGTTGGTCGTTAAAGACCTTTTGATGGTATTTGCCCCTAATATATAATTTTGATTTTCATTTGCATTTAGTCTAGCTCTTAATTATACGTTCTCGATTCTAATGATGATTTATAGAACAGTAATACTCATCTAATTGACTTCAATATGTTTTTCTAATAATAAATTATAACCAGAGAAATTAGTAACAGTTAAATATTTAGAATCAAGATTTACTTTTTATTCATTCCTCTTTCATTAATTATGCTCTATTTTTAAGCAACAATTTTTGGTAGATAAGTCTATATTTTAACACAGTTATAAAATTCAAGAAATTATATAAAACGAACACAATTTCAATAATTTAAGTAAACAAAATTATATCGAAGAATAAAAATATGAAAATATATTAAATATTTTTTATTATAATGATAATAAAAATAATATATATATTATGTATAGAAATTTCCGGTTGAAAGATTGAATAATTGAATGTGAATGAAAATTTAATTAAGATAAATTTGAATTTTCGTATCCGGTCTCTTTTTAGCGGCAGTCATACGTGGATACTTATATTATTTGGACCGAGATGATATTTTCTATATTCAACTAAACAAGATGGCTCCCGTAAAGTGTACATTAAACGCATGTAGAGAATTACAACATAAGACACTTAATTCTCTTAAAACATTTAATTAATCATTTTAGCAGACGTTTGTATTTCTAAATGCATACGACGCGTAATGTTGTAGAATTTGCTGAAGTGGAGAAACTTTGCCGTCATCGTTTATTATTTAGGAGCTCCCAGATGAAAACTAGGGATGATAGTGTGAGAATAGAGAGCAAACAAGGAAGTATAAAGCAATCCGATTAGAGAGTGACACGAGTGTTGACAGGTAGCCGGTTTAAAAGCGAAAAAAATCGGTTTAATGTATATACTTAAAAATGGCTGAAAAAAAGAAACGACCTATTGTCCAAAACAAACATTAAGAGAAACTTTTTTGTCAAAATAGAATTTTCAAAAGAAAAAACCTTAACTACATTTATAAAGTGTAAAGAGGGATGAATACGCTGCGCCCTAGAGAATGTATAAACATGGCATTAATCACGTACTTAACACTATATCAGTCATAATAATTAAAAAAATACATATTGAATTTTGGTCATTATAAAATTAGTTGAATTAATTAAT